GCTACGCGCCTGGCAGCTTAGCTCAGTCGGCTAATCTGGTGGTAGCCATTCTGTGTGCGCTGAGTCGTGGAGATTTCTAGGTACCTGGTTCAATCCCCATCGCTGCCTCTCCTTGGTTTTCAGCTTAAGAGCTTAAATACAAGTTAGAATCAATAGAACATGGGACGTTTAAGCCGTTGGTCACATGTGCACGTTAAAGAACGCCGCGTACACTCTTCAGAAAAGAGTAGGGGATTGTCTAAGGTGTACTGCACAATCACTACCAGAAGGACCCCACTGGTAATATTAAGTCTTTCGTGGGCTATCTTTGGTACTGAATAAATCCAATCTAATCCCATTAGAATCTGAATTAGGCCCCTACAGGTCTCAGTCCAACTGAAGACCACTACACTGTATTCTGTGGTCCTCAATTAACTAAATTCTTTTATTTTTATTATTCTAATGAGAGATAAAAGCTATTAAAGGCCATGGAAACCTGGTCCCAAAATTGGTCCTTAATTGGATCTCTAGGTCCCTGGTTCAATTCCTATCGCTGCCTCTCAGCTGGAGGGCTGAAATACAAGTTACAAAGCGCATGAGACGTTTAAGCCGTTGGTCACGTGCATGCATTTATGGCCCATATGCACGTTAAAATACGCAGTACCGGTACACTCTTCGGAAAAGAGGGGATTGTCTCCCGGTGTACTCACCACCAGAAGGAACCAACTGGAAATAAGTCTACTTTCGTGGGCTATCCTTGTTGTTTACACCGAATAAATCACAAAATCCAATGGTGAATGCATAATATAGACACACACTCATATTTTCGGAACTATAACTTGTTAGCCCCACCCCATATCAATCATCCAAATTCTAATGCTGCACAAAAACAGGTATCCTTTTTTTGATATCAGTTAACAGGCACTGGCAACCAGAAATAGATTGAGTAACCAGGAATTTTTTAAAACTTAGTAACTACAAAAAAAAAAAAAAAAAAAAAAAAAAGATGACAGGTATAAAGCAAGGGGGTGCACATTTTCCGTTTCTGGCCTCTTGACAGAGCACTGTACATGTTTTTCTACCGTTGTACTTTTATATATTTATATTTTTATTGGTGTTTGTCAATTTAAAAGAAATTTGACAGCTTTATATATAAATTTTATATAAATTTTTTTAACAAGACTCCTTTATTTTTCTCAATATTTTAATTTGTTTACTTCGTTGATGCTTTTATCGATTATTTTAATTTTTCACTTTTATCGTTCTTGCGTTTATTTTATATTTCTTATTTTACTTTTTATATTAAACTTTGTTAGTGGCACTGCTTATAAGGACAGAGATTTGCCGACTTGTTCCAACAAGCCCGACACTGCCGCCTTGAAGTTGATTGTCATTCGCGGGTCCCTGAGAAAAAGTAATAAGAAAAAAAAAAAGGGGGGGGGTGCTCGTTTACGGATTCGATTAGGATGGCAGAGGGAATAATCAAACTAATTTTGTTTGAATCGGTATTTTAAATACCCTACCTAAGAAACCGTTGCCACCTGTCTGATGGGGGGGGGGGCAAATGTTTCCCTGCTGACACAAATTATGAACAAGTAGATACATACTTACTTTGAATCCAACTAAAATTATTTGAAATTGAATCGGGAAATATACGACAAAATTCGACATGTTGGCTTCAAGTCCTCGTTAACGTGTTTAATACTAATCATATTAACAGTCACACACTATGCAAACTATGTGAAATAAATTTAACGTGAACAAGTAGATACATACCAATGTTGAATCCAACTAAAATAATTTGAAATTGTACCAAGAAATATAGGCCTATGACAAAATTCCACATGTTGGCTTCAAGTCTTCGTTAATCTGTTTGAATGTCAGCAATAGGAAGAAGTGGAGTTTAATTTGTCATGAAGAAAATTCATATTTAGCATAACAATGTTTAATGATTGTTTTCTATGTAAATAATAGACAAAAAATGAACAAATAGACTCGTAACCTCTAAGAGAGGTCCCGTACGGTACTACCTTACTTAGGACTGTTGAATAGGTTCTTTTCCAGATGGCTTACGTTTTTTACTTTGCAAGTAATAGAGTGTTTTTTTTTTGTTTTTTGTTTTTTTTCAAAATGAATGACGTATAATTTGAGAATTTATACTACAAAACAATACAAGACTATTATTGCGGATGCAAGGCGCGGGTGGGGGTGGGGCATGCAGACGATGCGACCGCACCCCTTCCCTAAATTGTATTAAGAAAAGGGTGGTTGTGTATTGTCGATATGAATTACGGGTAAGATTTTTAATGTATGAGAGTGCAATTTCCTGACACCTGAGGTCTTTATTCTCAAAATGTTCTCATCTGAGTGGATGGACGTATCCCTACCCAAAATCCCCAGATCGCCTCCACTTATCATCTTTTACATATTAAAAACCTGCCATCCTACCTCTAGGTCTAAGCATAATACTTTTTTTTTAAATAACGGATTTTAGTCTGAAACAGGCCTACAATGGTAATATCAGTCTTGGCCTTTTTGTGGTGTGGTACTGAATTTAGGGCTACTGTATACTTCTTTCTATCGGGATGGCTCTTTTATATGGCCATGATGCTCAATGGTCATTGACAGTGCACTTGTAATATTAAAAATTACTAATATAATTTGTAAATTTTAATTGGATATTTATATTAATTAATTAATTTTTTTTTTTTTTTTTTTTAGGTTTTTCTTGATTTTTAGTTTGCAGAATGTGGTCACCTTTCACAAAGTGCCATTTGTTTTCAAAGCGATATTTATTGGCAAATTTAATGTCAAAGGTTGCATCTCGTTACTAGTGAAGAGAGCTGATGAGTCAACCGCGAGGATAGAGATCCTGCTGCAGACCGGCAGCGAGACTTAAGTCAGCCACGCTTTGCAAAGCAGCCACGCTTTGCAAAACGGTGACGTAGGCATGGCTCTTCCATTCTCAGCATAGGGAAAATGTTTTTGAAGGTAGTATCGCGTCATTTTACGTCAAAACTTACAAATCTGCGTCAATCTAGGTAAATTTGCGTCAGCATACGTAAATTCCCGTTAACTTAACGTCAAAAAACCTGACTGTTTCTGGACGTACGGACGTACATTAGAACTATGCCTAGGTAAGTGACTTAACAATTGCTTTAATTGGAAATGGAAACATAACACTTAAGAATAGCTGATCTTTTTTACGGAAGGCCTAGGCTAGGCCTTGGCCTCTAAACCTAGGCCCTTAACTAGCTAGGCCCTAGGCCTAGCTAGGTATGCTAGCCCAGGAAGGTAGGCTGGGGCGGAGGCTAGGCCTAGCCCTATATATATAGGCTAATAGGCCTAGGGTACTAGGCTGGGTATTCTATTAGGCTAGACCCTTCTAGGCCTAGACCAAGGCCTAGTAGTAGTACAGTAGTGCTACGATAACATCTATATCTTGGCTAGGCCTAGACCTAGTTTTTAAGCCATCCAGGGAGGGGCCGGGATGTGGTTGTGCCTAGCCTAGCAAAAATGTTCGTCTTGGGCCTGGCTTGGCGGCCTAGTCTAGATAGAAGGCCTAGGCCTAGGTAGGTCTACTCTAGTAGACAAGCCTTCTCTAGCAGGCCTAGCCCTATGTGTTTGTTTTTATGTATACAGTATCTACCTGTCTCTTATACACATCTAGATGTGTATAAGAGACAGACTTTGTGGGAGTTTAACCCTAAAAAGAATCTCGAATAAGATAATTTAAACAATAGAATAGATAATCAATTCGAAATCACAGCGCGGGGTACCTGAAACACCTTAGAACATTCATTCTTACGATTCATAAAATACCTGTCTCTTATACACATCTGAATGTCTAAATTCAGTTAAACTAGCAATTCCGTATTATATTTATAAATCTTTATAACATTATACAAAAATTAGATTTTTCTTAAAAATTGAAATTTTGCCGGGAATGGGGCTTTAATAGTAATTAAAATAAATTGATTTCATCAGAGTTATCATAAATTAGATGTAAACGAATGAAAAACATTCTACTTGGAAATAATGTGTTTAATCTAGGCATGAATGTCCAAATAATAATAGGTGATTAAATACTGTAGGTGCCAACTGCCAATAGGGTCATTCCATGTCAAATCACCCAAAAAAAAGGACAAATTTGACCAAAATTTATTTGTAGGTTTATTTGGGTTGGAAAGAGTGAAATTTCAATTTTTTTCAAAATCGGAAAAACGGATCAAAAGTTACAGCCGATCAAAAATGGTTTAAAATGGCAAAATTGCGCACTACCTCCAATTTCCAAACGCAAATAAATCAAAATGTACTGGTCCGATTTTCATGAAACAAGTAGCATATTAAAGGATATTGGACAAGGATTCCAAATCTGTAATTGGAATTGCAGTACGATCAATTTAAGTTCAAACAAATGTTCATTTGCCCTTTAGTTTGACCTTTGACATGACCTTGTAGAACATATTTTATTTTTATTATTAAATTTTTTTTTTAAATCTCTAAAGCATTGCCTATAATATAAAAATCTAAGATGTTTTTCCCCATTACTTGATAATATTCAGTTGTATATAGTTGGTTCAGAAAAAATAAAAAAACATAAATTAATAAAAAAAATATATAATAAATCAGAAAATATTAGTTAAAGCTAAGATATGTTTTGCCACAGAAAAATAATTTTAAGCAGTTAAAAATAGAAGGTTAGAAGAATAATTGTGGGAGTTAGCAGTAGTTTGATTACGGTACATTACTGTACCTAAACTAATAGATTAGCATGACATTGCCTCTTACTGTATGATGGCTTATTTATCGAAAGTAGCTGATATAATGTCTTCCTGATGTTTTGATTGTATTTTTCTACTTGATGATGAGGTAAGTGATGGTGCCTCTACACGTGCTAGTAAAAGCTAAGATACATTTTGTCCCAGTGTAATGTAATAAACAATTTAATAGAAACACAATTGCCTATTATCAAGTAATGAGGAAAAACATATCCTAGCTTTATATATATTATATATTATAAGGAACACTTCAAAGATTAGAAAAATAAATAAAATTGGAAAAATAAAGTATGTTCCGCAAGGTCAAAGAAGAGGTCAAAAAGTCATCCAGTACTAACCTCATCATATGCAATTATGATAACATATTTGGAATCCTCAGAGCATCTCCTTTTCAATCAATGATAGTTACTATTTCAAAATTGGCCTATTAGTTTTCATGTTATGGCTGTTCGAAAATGGGTTTTTCTTAATTTTTTACGGCTCGTAACTTTTGATCCGGCAATCGGATTTTCGTAATATTTTAAATTTAATCTTTTCTCAGGCCAATAATCATTTGTCCCAATTTTCATTAAAACCTGAGTTGGTTGGGTGTTCACCATTGGGTGAACTGACACAGAATGATTTGATTATCAACATGTAAATGCATAATAATGTACATTCGTTTGTTTCAAATACGGTAGATAAAACGAAATATATGAATCTTAAAACATTATTATTAACTTTACACAAACCTAATAAAATCCACTGCTTGTTCAGAAACTCATCGCAGTATTAATGCCATTGACTTGCTTTAAAACCACATTAATTAATTTGCAGCATAAATACCTGATAATACAACAAAATCATGGATCTGTAGCAGTAATAGATTAACAACACACACGGATAATAATATCCATTTCATTTGGTTTGATAATCAACATATAATTGCATGATAATGTAACCGGTCGAACGGCCGAACCGGTCCTACACTGACGGTACCACTGGTGGCCCTAACTACTATTAACTAATGGCTGTTTTGCTGGGAATACCTAGGCCTAGGCCCTTCCCGTTGATCATGGATGGAAGGACCTACGCCTAGGCTAGCCTAGCTAAGCTAGGTAAGTCTGCTAAGTAAGCTCGGATATTGACGAGGAAATAAAATGTCTCTATTTAAACAAAATTTTCTATTTTTTTAATTATATAACAAAATATAGTATGAAGAAAATGTTATTCTATCAAATAATCAAGTACAGTAGTATCTACAATTCTCACAATGAAAATGTGAGACTTGGCAAACTGCATGCGTGATTGTGGATGAATATTTTGATATTTTAAATTATTTTTCTGTTAAGGATCCCAATGAAGATACTGAATGGAATGACATCCTTCGCCAGAAGGGCATCCTTCCCCCAAAAGAGGAGGAAATTACAGAAAATGAGATTATCGAAATGATGGAAGATAAAATTCATAAGGCAAATGCAGGTAAAAAATAATATTAAACGTCCAATGTATGCCCTAATATTTCATTAGGATAACAGATCTACATTATATATTGTGTTTCAAGAAAGTTATAAAAAACATACAAGACATCTGATTGTCACATTTAAGATTTAATTCTCGACATGATATAATATCATGTCGAGTATTTTCCCATTCTAATTCAATCCAATGCTCCTCCAATTTACCATTCATTTGCCCTATTAATAAACACAGCGTATCTGAAAAGCTTTAAAATGGAACAGCCTTCGTTTTAGGTATTAAAAATTGCCGCTGAAACAAATATTTTCATTTCAACACAAGTTTGAAACATTATTTTGATATATTTGTACATCTTTATCTATTGTTAGCCAAAAAAGTGCTGCCTACTAATTAATTTTTCGTCTTTATACCGTATTTGTAATTTCTGTCATGTTGTTAGTGTTTATTGTTTTTTATTTATGTTTATGGCCCACCCAAGAAAGATATATAATACAGTACTTTTTCAAAAGACATGAAAATACTGTACTTCAAAAATTCAAGTAGAATTTTGAATAGTTTTTTATTTATGTTTATGGCCCACCTAGGAAAGAGTACTTTTTCAAAAGACATAAAAATAATGTACCTTAAAAATTGAAGTAGAATTTTGAAAAGTTATTTAAAAGGTTCATATAAACTATTAACCAAGAAACAGATCAAAAAAATTTTGTTTTTACCAATTTACAGACATTTTACTACAAAATTTGTACCTGCTAATTTAAGGATTTTTGTAGTAAAATGTGTGTAAATTGGTGAAAATGTTTTTTTTTTTTTTGTTAATTTGATTCTAGGTAAATCATATGAAGAGATGACTCTTGATGAATTAGATGAATTAGAAGATGATGAAGACGAAAGGGTTTTACTACAGTATAGGTTAGTTGGATTGGATTGGATTTCTTTGGTTCACCAAGAACCACCAAAGAAAGTCTTGAGACTTACTTCTTGTGAGATCCCTCTGGTGGTGAATTGGTCAGTACACCGGGAAAAAGAGATTCCCTTTCTCTTTTCCAAAAAGTGTACTGCATTTTTCAAACGTGCACATGGGCAGTTTTGCACACGGGACCAAATGTGTCTCATCCGACTTTTGAAACTTACATTTCAGCCCTCCAGCTGAAACACAAGGAGAGAAACTAGGGAATTAAATTGGAGTCCAGAGATATGCCATCCTAAAACCAGTGTACTGTCACTAAATGTTAAACTGAGTAATTAGCATATATGTGGCAGTATTGTATACTTTAATACAGAGAAGCTATAATACTTTACTCCAAACTCAAGCAATTCCAATATTGATAACCTTATAATGTGGAGAATAAGAATATATTTTTAAGAAGTATACTGTTTTTTCGTTTATTTAATTTTTTCTTGGTCACTGATACTTGTTTTGGGATGGCAAGCCTCATACAGGTATAAACTGACGATTTTTAGCTTGAAACCTAAACCTGCATTGCTCAATTGTCCTCAGGCAACAACGAATAGCTGAGATCAAGAAATTACAACAAAAAGAAATTTATGGAAGTGTAAAAGAAATATCTGGCATTGATTATGTAAAGGAAGTAAACGAGGCAGGAGATGGTGTTTGGGTTGTACTACATCTCTATAAACAAGGGTAAGATGACATGTTTCATTGATGATATTATTTTATATACAAAATAAATTATATAGCTACATAAATCAATCATAAGAACTATGATAATTTATTATAAATATTTTGATAATAATTTGGGGTATAATTTGAGGTATTTATTAACTTATTACACGGAATATTTGTGCTCGGTGCAGAATAATTTGATTTGGAGTACTGTACTTGAATACTATGTAGAGAAAGTTACTAGAGGAATTTTAATAAAGACGATAAAAACATAATATTAGTTTAGCAAGTGACAGGGATTTTATGGTGTTTCTTCTCTTCTGTGTATGTAGCATACCTCTCTGTACCCTAATCAACCAACATTTTGCTCAACTGTCACGCAAGTTTCCAGCAACAAAGTTCTTAAAGGCTGTGTCAACGACTTGTATCCCAAACTTTCCCGATAAGAACCTTCCAACTATATTTGTATATTTTGAGAATGACATGAAATCACAGTTGATAGGACCTCATACGTTCGGGGGAATGAATCTCACTGTTGAAGGTAAGCAGGCATGTTTTGTGCAATTGAATGAATTTAATGAACAAGGAGAAATGTAGGAAGGCTTAAGCCTCAATTGCACTGGATTTATTTCAGTAAAAGTAACCGTCTTGTCGGTAAGTTTGACTGAAAAAATCCAGTGCAGATAGTCCCGCTCGGTTAACTTGACTGTCGCCGCCGGTTAGTTTTCGGGAGTGAAATTTACTCAGTAATTCCTACCGAGCTACTTTGACCGGCCTGGAAAATCCAATGCGAACAGCAACAGGTCGGTTAAATTAGGCCTCGCTAGGCCTGAAATATCGGAAGGAGAAATTCTAGGCTCTCATGATGTTGGCCTAGTCAGTCAAAGGAACAGAAACAGATCACGACGGCGATTTGCTTTGATCAGATCAGTGTTGCATGTCAGTACGGGTCATGTTACAGGTCAAAATGTACCGCCCTCAAATAGTTAATTTTACACTACTCGGGAAAACTAAACCGAGTTGAAAAGTCCAAGTGCGATTGACGGTAACATTTACCCTAGAAATGTTTACCGTGATGACGGTTACATATTCCCAAAATTTAATCCAGTGCGATTGAGGCTTTAGTTCTCCAAAATTTGCTGTTCCGTATCCCAATTATCAATTTTGAACTTGCTCCCACTCATCATTTATTTTATTATTATCTATTATTCTTTTCTCTTTAAATCACAATTTAAATCATAATTCAAACTTTTAATCAATAATCCTTTAGTTCCTTCTGCTTCTGCAACCATAGTGTTAATGTTTTTCAATTTTATTAATTTTCTTGTTTGTATTTTTGTATAACTATACTGTATTAGCCATAGTGGGCCTTGTCAAGTTAGCTTTCTGTTGCTATAGCTACTCTCTATAAATAATGTGAAATAAATAAATAAGTAAAAGTAAGTAAATAAACAAATAAACAAATAAATAAATAGAATAACAAACAAATAAATAAATAAGGAACAGGTTACTATTAAATAAAATAAACTGAAATAAAATGTCATAAAGTTGTCAACAAGGCTAAAGAGGAGGATGCAGTGGGACTGAGCTTTAAGAGATGGGCGTACAGAACACTAGGCTGCAAGTAGTGAATGGTAATAAGAATGGGCTACTGTAGATAGACAGGTGGGACTAGCCTACAGGTGGTCCTTGTAGGTAATAATAAAAGGAGATGGGTGAGCATAGAAGGTGGGTGAGTGGGGACAAAACTGGCTACAGAATGTGGGTGGGGAGAAGTCTGATATTCAAATGAGGCTACTAATTATATCTGTACTGTTTTGTAATTTAATTTATAGTAATAGGAATTCAGATATTTTGAATGGCATCAAGTTAAGATTTCAAAGGAATTTCCTTTTTCCTTTTTAATTTACCATTTTAAAATGTTTAAAAAAATTGTTTTTCTGTTTTAGATTTGGAATGGAAATTGTCAGAAATAGGTGCTGTGAAGACGGATATGGAGGAAAAGCCAAAACCGAAACAAAGGACTACTTTAACAATTTCATCAGGAAGAGAAAATAATGATGACAGCTCAGATGATGACTACTAGCGCCCTCTATCAACAAAGTTTTATATTGCTAAAAATTGCCACCTATCAGTAGATTTAAATCGTAATATCATTGACACAATAATTTGTAATAATAATAATAATAATATTAATTCTTTATTTATCCTCATTCAACTTGGAAATTTGGGCTCTTGGGGAATCTTGTACACCCTCTGTGCAGAGCCACCGGACTTAACTACAACGTGTAATTGATACAAACATGGCCTTTAACCCACCTAACTTTTTTGTGAGGGTTTATTCCAGGGGCTGAGTATATGATAGACGAGCATTCAATCAAATCTCGACTTTCAAGCCAGGTCTTGAATCTGGGTCCACAACAGTAAGAGGTAGGAAGCTTACCACGTGGTCTAATGCTTAGCAGCAGTGGCTTATCTAGGAATCTTGAAATAGTGGGTGGGGGAGGGGTTGGTGGTTGATGCTGGAGCGAAGGTGATGTGAGAAGATTGGTGATTAAGTGAGGGGGCACTATGTCGCAAAATCTATATAAACCTGATTTTTTTAAACTTTTTTCATCTGCTTAAGCATAACTTTTTTTGCTTTGAACATTTTCAATGGATGGGTGATATGGGGAGGGGGAGGGGGAAGGGGGTGCAAGCTTTTTAAGGGGTTCCCTGAGGCATCCACCTAGATACGCCACTGCTTATCAGTGAAGGAACCCCCTTTTAACAATACAGTTGGAGACACAGTTGGGGGGATTTTAGAAAGTTTGCTTGGCATTTTTTAGCTTGGGTTTAGGCCAAAATTTGGATTTATCATGAATACTGTGAAATATAGGTAATAACTTGAAAATACACGACTTGACCAGATTTTAATAAGAAATGTTTTACTCTTCCAAATTGAAATGTTTTTGTATTTCAAATAAATTAAACGAAATTTCCTATTTTATTGTAAATGTCATATTATGTTCGTCTGTATATTCAATACATTTTCCATGGAAGAATGCGGCATTGTATTAATGAGATCTCGAGCAAACAGTCCAGGCTTTGAGTCAAATGATGATCATTTGTTTCTGTCCTTGTCAAGACACTGTCTATGTTAGGTCCCTTCACATCATGTGCCTACCCGGCATCTTAACTGTCCACCGCATAGGCGTAGATCCCGGGGGGGTGGGGGATATCCCCCGATATATTTGACAAGGGGGATGGTCCATTGTATCATCCCCCAAATATTTTGACTCTATGGGATAAAATGGACCTTTACACACTTTAAAAGACTGTCACAGAAATAATTTGCACTGTCTTATGCGCTTACAAAGATGAAAATTAGCATAATGTATTAATGTTGATAACAAAATTATTTCATCTGGTACCAATCTAAGTTCCTCTTTCCTTAGATGTTAGATGTGCTTGTAAAGAGAGCCACATTTCACACTGAAGGGTGTGTACGACATCAGTAATGTTATGTCAATTCCAAGAATGTGTAAGGTTATATCGGTTGATGAGGAATTTATTGATTAGGCCTATAATAGCAAATTGCATCAATTTATTTTGCAAAAACAAGGTTTCCAGCTTCAGAGGGGGGGCACATCCCCTGTCCGCACAAGGGCAC